AGAATCTAGATAAGATAAGATTTAAATATTTTTAATAGATAATTAATATAAGTAAGACTATGACAGTTAATTAATAGACTGAAATACTGAGATTAATAGCTGAAAGATTAGAGACTTAACTAGAATTAAATAGCTCTGATATTATTCTTAGTGAGAATCTCACTTATAAGTAAGCTAGTTATAGAAGCTAGCTGAGTGATAACTCTTTAGAGAGAATAATAATTTCTAGAGTAAATTTAAGAGAACAGAGACAGCAGTCAGTTATATAAAGTGTTAAAATATATATATAGCTTAAGATATAAACTGTAGAGATTTTATTTTATAGCTCTCTTTACTTTATCTTTTTCTTTCAATCTCTTTCTATCTATCTATTTAATATGTCTATCTTTAAGACTGTGTTCTCTTTTTCTTTATCATAATTAGACTGACTGTGTGACCGTGTCTGGGACCAGGACCAGATTTTTTAATAGTTTCATTACCAATTCAACTGATCCCATTACACAGTTTTAACATTAGATAGTAGTCTCATACTGTCTCAGTGAGACTTACTGTCTACTCTTGTCACATTTTTCAAATGAGATCATGATTTCTACTTCTCAATTTAAATTATTTTTATTGTTTTAAATGACTTTAAATCTTATTTAAGCATTACTAAAAAGTGTTACTTTTTAAAAAATTAAAAATAGTCTAAAAAAAACCTTAAAATGTCTAAAAATAGTAACTTTATGCCAAGAATGAGACTAAATGAGACCAAATAAGACCACTTTCTCATTTTTTTCAAGTCATGATTTCATTTTAAGATCTGATATATAGTCACTTTACATGTTTTTTTGATAGCCAGTCCCAGCGGGATTCACGCCAAGAAATGTATGGGACCAGACCAAATGGGACCAAATGTGAAATTCATGGTCCCGGCGGCCAGTCTAATCATAATATTATCAAATGATTTCAAAGTATTAGAAGATGTTAAAATACTGTAATTTATAAACAGTTTTTATATTCTAAGCTGGAATTTTCTGATTTTATATATCTGAAATTGATGAATGTATAATAGTTAACTTTACAGATATAGAAAAAACTCTGAGAACTAAAAGTTCTCAGGTAGATGTTATAGTCTCTGACTGTATACATCTATAATTAAAGAATAATAATAATATCTCTCTGATTTGCATTCACAATTGTCATATCATCACCATTATTGCCATCAAGCTCTTATATTTTCAAGATTGAAATCAAAATAAGTGTATGAAACAGGCGGCTGATATCAAAGACCTCACTTTTTATTATTATTATTGAAGTTCAAAATAACTGTACAAGCGGCGGCAGCGGCAGTGGCGGCAGCAGTGGCAGTGGCAGCTGCAGCTGCTTATTACAGTGACGGATTATTATTATATTCATTACCCGGCATACAAGAGGTTTTCAATTAGATGAATACAATATTTACAAGGCCTATGCCACAGCAGCGCCGAATCGTGGGATCTATGCCTATATAGGAAGGCCGTGCGTACTAAATATTTCATGCGACTAGGCGCTGCTGGATCCCTCTAATGAATAGCAGCTGTTGTACTGAGTAATAGATAACTAGCTTAATAGTATTAGTTTTGCTGACAGAACAGTATATAGTGCCTTGTAGTATCTTAGTAGTATTCTGATAATAACATCTGTCAATTACATGATTACTGAGTAGTGTCATGATGATGTTAGGAAGTCCTGCACTGTCTCAACGCCATCTTGACATTTAATATTCAGTGATGTGTCACTGAATATAATGGTGGAACATGTGTTACAATCGGTGACACGTGACACGGGTGGAATGGTGGATCCACGGTGTAATCACCGTAAATTAACCCTACGTTCTTCCCGTATGGTAATAGTGAGCGTGCAAAACAAACCAATTGAGTAGCATGACAAAGGCTTGTACGGGGTTCGTACGACCCGAGTTGGCTTTAGAGGTCTAACCTCTCACAATACCTCTCTCCTCCTCTGTATGATTAGTCTCATTTGCATTCGTACGGGCACGTTGCCAAACGTCTAAAGCGATCGTATCTTCAAGGTGGACGGCTGGTTCCCATGTCAGATCATGCCAGCCACGCCAGCGGACGCGGTACTTGATTCAGCCGCATCTATCTATCTGGTTGTTCAGCAACAGTTTCTTCTACTTCATACTCTTCGTCACTGTGTTCACCTATAATTGCGGGGGGTTGCCAGTTAGTTTGGGTTTGACTTGACAGGGGGTTTTCGTTCGCTAGTCAGAGAAGCCACATATGGAAAACAGGATGGATGCTGGCCCCTTTATCTTGGCTTCAATATTATGTACAACACATATTATATCACAACTGGTAATGCCAGTGTGGTGGTGGCAGATTCAGCTGGATGTAACCTCCTCCTGTTTCTTCATTTTCGAAGTGTCGACTGCCGCTAGCGCAGGGCCGATTCTGTCTTCTCTGGAAACATCTCTCTATCTCCAGCCAGGGCTGGCGGTCCTCTATCATGCTCAAAAGACATGCATCATCCTCAGGGGATCATCACCATGGCTTGTCTCAATGGCCCTTCCTCCTCTTGCTATGCTCACGCTGAGTTTGCTCAATCTCCTCATGATAATCTGAGTGAACGACTGACTGCACGCTCTCATTCAACTTGAGTGTGCAGCTTGCCATAGCACCTTCAAACAGCCAAGAAAGGAACTGCAGACGTTCATCAAGCTGTAGAGATAGGAAATGGGAATGAAGACCGGTAAAGGAACCTTCCTCTGTAGATAACATGAAAGCAATCTGAGACTGCTTCATTGTCTGTTCCTCCAATCCCTCCACTCCTCGCTCGAGACTCTTCAACTTCACTGCTGTGGGAGCCTTCACCCACACCACTGGAGCAAGGTGCATCGGTTCCAGCGCTAAGATGGGAGGGGTGCAATTGTGAACAAGCCTGGATGTGAGGGTCTTTATCCATTTGAGCATCATCATTCCAGCCATCAAACCACTTCAGAGAACCTTGATGATAGTCGGGTGCACCGCAGAACATAGACGGAGGAGGTTCAGAATATGGACAGTTTGCCTTCGGGGTTGCAGAGCTGTTTCCTTGCCAGAAAAATCAGAGAGACCTGCTGGCCTGTCGGGGCCTGTCATTGGAAAGAATGGCCGGGTCTATGAGAATGTTGTTCTGAAGAACCAGGGGCCTGAAGAATTTCTCTAGGCTGCCATCCGAGCTGTTTGTACTGGGTGAGGATGGACCTGGCCCTGCAGCTCCTCTCTCAAGCAGAGGTAGCTTGTCTGAAAGAGCAGTGAGATCTTGGGTGTCGAAGGCGGCAATTTGAGGTGAATTTGGAGTAAGATGTGCTGGATCATGCGGATATAAAGGCCCATGCTTGGGGTTCTCTGAAGATGGCGTACTGGATGGCGGTATCGATATCTCTCGTTCCTGAAATTGGGATGCTGTTGGTGTACATGGCCTGGCGTTGGTGCTGAATGACATGCAAACTTCAGCCGGTGGTCTTGCAGAGAGGTGATGCTTGGGGGGTGGTAGAGTGCTGCGGGGAGAATCATGATGGGGTTTAGAGGGAGGAGAACAGCTGGCCGCTGGAGAGCATGAATGGTGGGATACGTAAGATGAGAGTAGTTTGAGGTGAAGGGGCGCCCATGGTTTGAAGTTCGCATGAGGAGATAGCATATTTCATGAGGGTAAAATTTTGGACGCGGAGATGATCTAAAAACTGAAGGGAGATTAGGAATGGAAATCAATGAGGGGAGTTTGTGTGTAATGGGAAAATCAGATTGTGAGTGTGCTAGAATTCTGGAGTAGAATCAGTCAGCCTTCTTATAGTGGCTCTCAACGCGCTCACTTCACCACTACCCCCAGACTCCGTTCCTTAAACCTCACTTGAGAATGCTGACATGTCCATCCCTGTTGAAACTGGGACCTGGGGACAGATAACTCAGTGCTCTATGCCAAATATCATTCAATCATTGCAACTTCCAAGGATCACATGTACCACCTGCGCTTCTTGATACAGAGCCCCCGGGCTGGCTCAGAGGCGCATCCCGCAGCAAAAGCAATGCAGTAATTTTGCCATTGATCAGAGAATGAAAGTGAGAGCCTGCAAGTTAGCCTTAGTGGGTCAGGGGTGAATGGGAGGATGTAGCCCTGAGCACCCAAGCCCAGCTGATGGCTTCGGGATACATTCCAGCCAGTCATCCTCCCTTTCCACCCCATGGGTGAGGGGTTTTTATAGATTGTTGCGGCGGTGGTGGGTGTGTGAGATGCTGCAAAAGCGGCGATCCAGGCGCTATCCCCGAAGCGGCAACGCTCTTATTATAACGGTAATTGTGTAGTTACGGTGTGGACCAATGACAAGCTTGATTTCTAGGCTCGGCGCCCCGCTAACCGACACAAAAGATATTTATATCTTTCTTAATGTGAGTCTTATCAGGACTAATCATTAAAAAAATATGAAAGGTAACCAGAAATAAAAGCTTAGAATGAGACTATGATTGATTAAAATGAGAAAGTGATTTTATTTATTTAGCTACATACATTTATTAGCATAAAATTACTATTTTTAGACACTTTTTGAAAAGTAATGATTTTTGATAATGCTTAAGAAGAAGTTCTAAAATTGATTAATCAGTGTGAAAGACTTTTCATGTAAAGAGTTATAATCTGTTGGCAATATAACAAGTAGTTGGTTAATATTAAGGTGTATTGCATTCAGTGAACACCTCTAGACCATGTGGGAGGCAGCTGCTGCGGTCGGACCCTTTGTGGATGCCTTAGGGGATCCAACAATATAGGTATAAAAATAAATATATGAAAACATAAAAATGAAAAAGAAAGGGGGAATATAAGTATATATGTAAGAGAAAAGGCAAAAAGAAGGGAAAAAAGAGGTAAACGAAGAAAGTAAGTAACCCCGAACAAAAAAACCAAACAAGAAAATCATCCCATGAATGGTCATACGTATGTACCCAATAAAAAAATAATAGAAGAAAAGAGACTTCTCATTCCATTCACTCCTCTCGCAACATTCCCCCGACCCCACCTCCATCGCGCACATTATGTCGGGTGGTCTTCTTCCCCACCTTCAACATGCTAAACCGTTTCATCATTGAATCTCGAACTCCACTGGCGTTGCCATCAGGTGCGGGTGCCGCGGCAGTGGGACCTGTCGTGACTGACGTGCTAACAGTCGCTCTGTGAGAATTAGAGACGGCATTCTTGTTATTGTCATTCTCGCCGGTCGTCACTGTGGTTGTCTGCGTGGGCATTATTGCTTTTGTAACAAGCCGTTCCGAAGTCACGGGGCGGCCATTGTTATTGGAATCCGCACTCGCACTTGTAGGATTGGTACTGTTATTGCTACTGCCCTTTGTTCCACGGCGTGCGCCTGATACCGTTCGAGTAAGCTGGCTCACTTTTGCAGCAGCACTGCTAATACCGTTAGTCACACCACCATTGCCGCTATTCTCCGCATTAGGGGGATGGGAGGCGATATTTCCACTCCGCCCATCTTGTGATCGAGATGATCGCGCACGTTCCGTTATCCGTTGTTGTGTCGTACGGATGTCCTCGGTAGAAGTGGCGGGCGCAGAGATGGATGAACTATTCTTTTGTGTATCGATTCCACCGCCACCACCACCAAACCAACTACGTCGCTTTGACCCAGAGTCGCGGTTTTTATTGCGCGACCGACGACTAGCGGCACGGCTGGGAGTGACGGATACGGCATCCGTGGCATCTGTTCTTGCGGTGGATGGACGCGATGTATAGGTGCCGTTCAGCTTGGATTCGGATTGTTGTCGTACATCGTTGATGGTAGACGCATTGATGGTGGAGTTAGAGTTGGTGACAGAATGGTTGGAGCGTTTAAAAGGATTGAGGCTGATCCGATGCGTGCTGATGGTTTTCTCATGGGATTTATTCGTCTTCGAAGGATTTTCAAGCTGACGCGTGGCGCGGATGAGTTCCTGTTCTGGACTAATGGGACGGGTTTGGGCTATGGGCTGAGGTCGAGAGGCAATTAATGGGTCAGAACGACCGTTGAGAAGGCTAGGTGGTTCTTCGCCTGCAGGAGTATTAAAGACAGGGCTAAGGGAGGCAACCTCTGGAGCAAATGCGATTTCGAAATGGCGACTAAGTTCCAACTGGGTAGCTTGATAAGCAGGACGGTTGTACAATGCCAAGCAGCGCTTAATTGCAAGGGCGTGATCGATGAGAGCAACAGCCATTGCATTGTTCAGAGGATTGACGGGGCGTGGAGCCTGCTCCTCAGTCTCGCAATCTACTGAATTCATATCCATCTTGCTCTCATCTACCAAAAATTGTCGATAAAGGGCAACACAGCCCGAGGAAGTTGACTGAAGATCAAGAAGACGGCTTAGAACTTCCGTTAACCCTGTTAAATTGAAGTCCTCTCCAGACGAGGCTCGTCTTTCCAGCAACAAGAGCTCTTGGGTTTTGCGCCAGGTGCGCTCAATTGCCGTTTGAAGAGGTGTAAGGACTATTTCCTCCGACGAGATAATTTCACTTCTCCGAAGAATATTCGGGAAAGGCTCTGTAGTTGTGAAAACAGTTTTGACGACCCACTGTTCTTTCACGTCATCTCCGCTAGTATGTCGTTTTGAGGTAATCGAAAATTGGGAAGGCACTGAAGTCAACAGATGTTCTCGGACTGAGTACGGTACCTTAGATCGCTGGTAGACAGCGTGATTCATATCTTTTTGCACACTGACAGCTGAAATCTGCAAGAACTGCCCTTCGAGATCGTCTATAACATCTGAAGACACGATCTGGGCGGCTGGGTATTGTTTTTGCATGCGGTCGGTAAACGTCGCCATCCGATCTGTAGGGTATCCTTCGAAAATATACTGCTTATCCCTTAGAGTAGCGGGGAATCCAAGACCTTTGAATGTAACACGGAAATATCTTTGAGGTGGGTCGTTACCTTTCACGATGGCGTCGTAAATCTTGGCCATGGATGCCTGAGTTCTTGAAAGTTTCGAGAAATCCAGTACTGTGTGCTCGTAATAATGTGCAAGTTCCCGGTAGCAGGAAAGTGCATGTGCCCAAGCTTTACCATCCTCAAAATGTTGAATGATTTCAAAGTACAATGCCTCTTTCCGTTCAAATGATGTCTGTTCGGGGAAAACAGGGTTCGTCAACGCAGGGACGGGTTTGGAGATATCCCAGTCATAAAGATCGGCGTGGAACTGAAGCGCAAGGCCGGCTTCGGTATAATTACGCGCCGCAATCTGCCCACGAGCAAGCTCATGCACGTATCGAATAAATATATCTTCTTTGTCCATGTCTTTCATAAACTCCATAAGCTTCAAGGTATTAAGGCTCTCCGTAATATTGCCATTTTGAGACGCGACCAAAAGATCCAGTAACTCGTCAACCGTTGCAACAAGTTCCTTCAACGCCACAAGCAGGTCCGCATCGGGATCTGAGGAGACTATTTCAAATAAGTCTAGCAACTCGTTGATAAACGTCTTTTGAGTCCCACTCTCATTGGCATTCTTTGTTTTGAACAGCAAGTCTAGACTGGAGATTATTTCAGCCTCCACGAATGAAAGGTCCTCATTGAGTTGCCACTCGGAAACGATCATTGTCTGCAGGATCCCCACGGCGACATGTCGAAGGCCTTCATGGACGCTGAGGCAGAGTTCGATGATGGGACAAACAAGGCTAGGGACGTATTGAACTTGGTATCCGCCCAGCTTCTTCAGGCCATAGCGCTCTTGTTCTTCTGAACTAGTCTCCCAACCAATTGCTTCCCAGGCTCTCCGTAATAAATCAGCACCATGCTCACGCACATCTCCAGCAATCTTCCATACAGCTCGGCGCTTCTGTTCGGGGAAGGTCTCGAGGGTGAGAGCATCACTTGAAACGAGCTTCAGCAGTGTCTCGAAAAATAATTTCCATAGCTCCATGTCAAAATTATCGGCATCATCAGGTGGGGGAAGAAAAGAGCTAATCAGCATCGTTGACAGATATTCTAAACTCTTCATGATCGCTCGATGGTGATATATATGCAGACTCAGCCAAGTAGGAGGGTAAGCGTCGCAGCTAAGGACGGATTTATGGGTCTCGAGAGCCTGTGACAAGAACAAGGCTAGATCATCATCCTTGAATGACAATGGCGTCGGGTTGGGTATTGTCGCGAGCGATGCAATGACGGCTGCAAGTTCGACAAGACTCTCCTCGAATTTTTGCTTTGTTTTGGACTGCTTGAGCTGGAAAGGGAAAGACTTGCTGAAGAGCATCGATAGCCAATCTGTTTCCTCGACACCATCGGCAACCAGAACGCAGTATGATGCTACAGCCTTGGGCATGTACACATACATTTCGGGGGATGGATACTTGAGCTGCTCTGCTACAATTGACGAACAGAGTCGAACCTGATCTCGATACTGGTCATTGGCATCATCCGTCTGTCCCCAGTATGGGGCGAGCCAATCTACACAGGAAGAAAATAGCATCTCTCTGTCTTTTGGGCTTTCGAACAGGGGAAGGCGGATATAGTTTAAGATCAACACCAATTTATAAAGGATAAGCATGCTCTTGACATCCTTGCAGGAATCCATGAAGCTCAATGCAATATTAATGATCTCTTCCTTTGTCAGTGCACTTGAAAGTTCGGGTAGCCATGTATGGAAATGCTGTACAACCAAAGTCTTGCTGCCAACAAGTATCGGAGCAGGATTTTGCATCAGAGCTTCCACAGACTTGAAGATGAAATGTAAATCTCGGTCGAAGGTCGACTGAACCTTTGTGATGCCGATACCTTCCTCCTTTGCTTTCTGTTGTTCCCGGGCATTAATTATGAATTTTAGAAGATGTCGGCCAACCTTGAAGGCAGCACGAAGGCTCCGAGATTGCTGTGAGTCCGGCGTCGCTTGAAGGAGGCGACAATAGCTTCGAATCAGACATGGCGTAGCAAAGGGGAAATTAAACTGATTTTCCGCGTAATGGTCGACCAAAGGCCCAAGATTAAATCGACGGTCATGCACAATGCCAAGGACAGTGACCAAGTCATTGAATACTAGATCTTCATACTCTTCATTCCCAGCGTTCTCCACAATGATCCCAAAGAGCGCATCGAACACATCCCGAAGCTGTTTCACTATTTCAATTTCCGGAACGAAAACAATCCTTTTTAAAAGCTCCAGAACTTCTGTTGCTGACTTTTCCCGCCAGCTTATGAGGCCCAGAATTACGTGATCTTGTGAGTACTCTGTACTGCAAGATCTGTTTCTAGGGACAGTGTTGCTAAAGGACCAGTAACAGCTTCGTCTTTAGTAGATTCGTTCTTTCCAAGTGCGCTCCAAGGAAGGGAGAGATAGGCGCCGCGCCCATTTTCAATGCTTGAAGTAGACTTGTCGTAAGCATGCAACAAGAGAGAGTGACGGCCGTCACGAATGAACGCCTGTTGGTCCCACAGTGGCATCCAGCTCAGAGCAAACGGGAATTCGGGAGCGTCGGCTACGCTCATAATAAGATGGGCACCGGGGACTTGATCGGCAGGAATGTTCAATCGAATCGTTTGGTTCCAAGCTGCGCCTCTCTCAGCAACAGTGGTTCGCCAGGCAGTTTGGCCTAGTGCGTTGGAGGAAGGGTAGATACAATGTTCAATTCGTGCTCCTGCAGTGTTGCGGACTTCAAGGGTCAACTGGAGGTTCCGTAAACCTGTGATCTGCGGAACCGGAACCTGACAGTTGATTGGATGCGAAAGCAAGGCATCTTGCGAGATGATTGCTCGATTTAAAGTGACGTAGATATCGGATCTTGGTTTAGTTGGCGCTCCGGGAAATCCTATTCGTTTCGTCTGTGTGACGTTATGGAGGGAAGTAGGGTTGTTCCGTACAAGCGTCTCCGCATCTTCGCTGGTGAATGGGTGGAGCTGTACGTGCACCCTTCCCGCGCGAAAGGATCTCACATACTGTTTTGTTGCGCTATATAGGAGGGACCGTACGATCTCATCGAAACCCTCTGAGTAGTCATCCTCTTCATCGGTTTTACGACGAGGAGACCAAATATTGACGACCTGCTCGACCTCTTTGCATTGCTTGAGTATAGCGCCAATATCCAAAGCCCCAAGCCCAACTACTCTGGCGACTGCAGCCTCCTTCCCAGATGTATCAGCTTTGCTAGGCTTGGCTGTAACAGAGTCGCTCGACTGTGGTGGATGTCTTGATAGCTCCTTTCCAACTTCAGAGCCTGGCCCTCTAGATTTAGGGCCCCACATCATACTCCGTCTGGTCTTCAAGCTACCTTTCCCTGCGCTATTGATACCTGAAGCGACTCTATTCGATAACGAGCCATCTCGGGAACTTGATGACCGAGATTTTGGCGGCGCATTAACCCTAGGTGATTCGGATCCCAACGCCTTGATAACAAGGTACAGCTTTGAATCAGAGTTAGATCCTTCTCCAATATCAGCGGCACTTAAGTCCGTAAAGAGGGTCTTCAGCTTGGTGTTGTTAACCAGGGTGGCGAAGGTTTCGGCGGTCGGCAGATCTAAAGAGTAGGTCTCTGAAAGTTGACGTATGTCTCCGTTCGCTTGTTTCAACCACAGACTGACGGCAAGAGTTATTGAGCCAGCATCAGTCCCAGAAACTGCATTCACTTCAAAAAGCAGATGATGGAGCGAAACGTTATCTAGTTGAGGAGTAAGTCCACTGTCAAGCACGCTCATTTCGGATTGAAGCTTGGTCAGTTCCATGGCCGAATCGTCTCCGGTAAGCAAGCGCCCTCGTTGATTTGGGTCACGAACAACCACTTCTCCGCTTAGCATTTTATTTCCTCGAACGAGATTCCATACTGTCTCTTCTCGCAAGGCCGCGCGCTCTTGGGCTGTCAGGACATTGTGAAGCAACTGTCGTCGTGCAAGGTCTAGTTCCAAAACGATATTCGACATGTTCTCTAGGGTTGTGTATTGTCGGGCCAAGAGGAGTTGGTGTATATTTGTGGAATGCCATTCCCGCAAACATGATGCGATTTCATCCACAAGAGGCTCTGCTGCAGAAGTGGGCGTCTCGTCGCCGATTTTCAACATTGGGACGGGTGCAGGCGGTTTTATAGTGTTAGGGTCGCGGGGGCCTAGGGATATAGGTGTCAATGGCAAAGAGGGAGACGCGGATCGTCGTATACCTACATCCTCTTCTAGTTTTATAATTGTAATTTGGGACATTTTCCGTGACGCCTTAAGGTCGCCCACTCCAGTGGAAAGTGTCCTGCCATCTGTGACAGAAAGGCTATCAGGGGATGCGGTGCTGGTTCTCGAGCCTGCATATTTCCCTGTGATGATCTGAGTGCTCAATCTGCCGTCTTTTGAGCCATCTGCATCACCCAAGACCTCTCGCACTTCCACACAGTTCTTAGGAAAGATTCCTGAAAAGACCCTTGCCTCGAGCGTGCGTCCCTTCACGCTGGTTAAACCTGCCAGTAGTGAAGGCGGCGCAACAAGATAACCCCGATACCAGGATCCAGTTGTCCCTCCTTGTTCAATTATGTAAAGCTCATCGCCAAGTTCTAGGGGGAGGTCTGCGGGAGACGAAGGCTTGAAGGGATAGATAGCGACAGCGAATGCAATTCGAGGGAGAGGTCGCCAGGGCATGTTGTTTGTCAAGGAAGTAAGAGAGTCGGAATCGCAGCTTGGCGGGGGATTAAAAATTAAAAGACCGGTGAAGGGAAAAAGGATAAAAATAATATAGGCAAATGACGGGCTAGAATATTAAGAGAGAACGGGAGGGAGAGCTCTTGCTGGTCTGCGACAGGATTACATTCAGAATCGGATTTGCTTGCGTGACCAGCTCTGCGAATTGGTCGGGTAAATAGCGGAACTTGGTCAGTGAGCGCATCAATTGTAGTATTCCCTCCGTAACCGACTGAAGAATAACAAACGCATCTCAGAAACAATGGAATAAATGGAGGATAACAATGTTTGGGATGACAATGCATACCAAAGGGACGGGGAGCGGATGAAAATATCGCGGTGGAACGGCGGTAGGGTAGGGCAGTCTTTGGTCTTCCTTGGACCAAATCCCCTGAGGCACGCACGGACAAAATATTTCCCTAAAAGAGGAGAGTAACTAAATCACTGACTGTGGCGATAGTTAGCAGCCAGGCCTCGAGATGACGGGGCCAAATCCTGTTTGTTGTGCTTGGTGTGGTGTGCCGCTGTTGGCAACAAGAATAATGATTCAAGGCCACACGGGGAGAGGGGGAGAAACAAATGTCCGTTAGTTAATGGCTGTTCCTGCAGGGCATTTCAGCCGCGGTGCGGTGGGCTAGTTAGTTTTATTGAGTGCTGGAGCCGCAACTGTCGTTGTCACGCTCAGGCTTCTCCTTTCTTTTTTCTTCTTTTGTTTTTCTTTTGTCCTCTCCCCCGTTTTTGGCCAGCGGACTGACTGACTAGTTAGTTAGTGGAGGGGCACTGCGCTATAAAGACAGTGGATGGGATGAGATGGGTGAGTGGCGGGATGGGTCGCAGCAGGATCTGGGGATGAATATTTAAGAACAGGAGTGGAGTTACACAACCCTTATTTATATATAGTTATATGTATATATATATATATATACCTTTGCATAGTAGAAATAGTAGTTAATAGAACTCGAGATGGTTACTATTAATAAACATAAGGGATGTTTGACTGATACATGTTATTCAATAGATGAGTGAGGGTTCGAATACATACCTCCTCGGTCCCCTGAAACTCCGCTCGATCGCGATCCTTGGAACAGGCTTTGAATAAGTATAACTATTTGACTTCGCGGTATTTGCGGAGCCGAACCGGGAACAGCCAGGCACAGGGTTTTTTTTGGGTTCAAGCGACCTCTTAGTTATCCGATCTCTACTATGCTATGGCCTAAAGTTATGGGCAACATCTCGCTAACCGCTGATCCTAGGCAAGGTTCCCCCCTGACAGGGCTCGTGGGTGGGTGGCCGCGATATTCGAGGTCAAGCGTTCTACACAATAAAAATTAAAATTAAAATTAAAGTGGTGAAAAGATCATGTACAGACATAGCTATAAACTATAACTATCCCACCATAAAACCTAACGAAAAATTTCTTGAAACATCTTTGCGAAGAGATACATTTCTAATTCCTCGTGCCATGGCGTCTCCCTTCATACCTTTTCTCCTGGAATATATGCTTCCTGCCGCCAATTTCGTCTACTGAAGATCGACCCTTAAAGTGTGAAGAAGTATATAATTGTCTTAATTTACAGCGGTTAATTATCTGCTTGGATGAAAGGAGAAGGGAAAAATAATGGGGGCCGCTGGAGGTAAAACAATGAACGCGTAAACGAGTGATTGATATAAATAAGGCTATGAAAAAGGGATAGGTAGAAAGGGAGCATGGAAGATCAAAAGTAATAGCCAAAGAGGTGGGTGGCATATATGAGAAAGAAAAGCAAATGAATGTAAAACAAAACTAGTAAGATGAAATCGCGATAGAAGAACCAAATAAGAGACGAAAGGAGGATTGTAAGTTGAACGTAATTACGTGCATCGGATTCGACCCCTCAACGCCAATAATATCATTTCCAAAAATCAATAAGTCGGAGAAAATATCGAACGCGATGATCGAAGAAACAAGACACAAACTTTTTTTCCCCTCAATCATCGCTTGAACATGGCTACAGCCTCCTCCTTCCGCCACTCCAATTCCATCTGTCCCTCGTAAACCAAGTCAATTATATGTCTCACACGGTCATGTATGTCTGAATACTGCGTCTCGCATTCTCTCAACACCTTCACCACCAAACTGCGCGAAACACCTGGATCGTCGGCATCTCCAAAATGCTTCTCAATACGCTTCTTCAGAGCATCAATGCCCCGTCGCAGCTCTTTCGTATCGTACGAGGTGAGAAGTTTCTTCGCAACGACACGTGAATGGCTGGTACGGAGGGCGATATCGGTTGGCGTCGCGGCTGTCTGGAGGAGGGACTCCGTAGACTCGATAAAGTCAAGCAGTTTACCAAGAGGCCGGCGGATCACAGCATCTATATACAACCGCAAGTGTTCGCGTAAATCGTGCGCAGCCCGATCTTTCCATTCGGTTAAAATGATGTTATCGCGGGAGTCAACTTCTTCAATGTAATGATTCATATTCTCAATCAAGAGGATATGATAATTCAGTGCCTCTTTGTCTTCTGGGTCCTGACCACCTCCGGACGCAACAGATTGCTGGCCAGGTGCTTCCTTGGCGATAAACTTCAGACTGTCCCACATGGCGCGGTTGATTTTCTCATAGGCATCATTCACGCAAAAACGGATGTCAAAGGTTTCTTGCGATGGCAATGAAATCATATTTTCTATCGATGCAGAGAAATTAGGGAAAATTCTCATGAATGAAATAACTCCTTTACGCTTGTTGACCTTGAGTTTCGTTTCTTCGATGGCACGGATTTGTTCGTCGACGAACCGGTTGAAAAGTCCCATGAAGCGAGAATGAATTTTGTGAAGACTGCGAGCAATGAATTCCTGGCTTGTTTCATCAAAAACTGACCTCTTTCTCTCCAAAGCAAATAAGATGCCAACTCCTTGCCTGTTTGTCTTGTTAGCTCAGCGATAGGTTTGAAGTTTTGGTGGCACAAACTTACAATGGATCTTCTCTAATGGCCCAGTCCGCTAGATTCTGCATATCAGAGATCCAGGGGGAGAATATTGCTTCCATAATCCGCTCAACCTTCTTGGCCATTTCGCGATCTGGGTCGTAAGACTCATTGCCACTCAAATTGGGTAGTCGTCGATCCTCTGGTCGAGCAGCTGAAATTAAATCCTGGAACTCGACGTTCGAGAGTGAGGTCAGATGGAAAAATTTCACGATAAAGTTTTGTTCTTCAGCAATTAGCTTCGTTGTGTCTTCTAACGAACCGCCGAAAACTTCGTAGGGCTCTATTTTCCCGCCAGCTTTATCCACTGCTGGCATTCGCGAGGTCCCAGCGACGCGGACTGTTTTGCCTCGCCTCACTGTCAACTTCCGGGCGGCAGTGGTGATACCCTCCCCATCCCGTTCCTTGTCTTGATACGTGAATAGCAGCTCTTGTTCATCGCCGGTAGGCTTCCGCGCTTCACGCTTCCAGGCCATAGTATTATCCCTGAACTCATTCTGATATGGTTTCTTCATCTGCTGCCCATATTGCGTAGTAATGGAAGTCCAGTCTGCTGTGCTAACCTCCCGAGCGAAAAGCATTAAGGCATTGTACATCCAGAGGTCTTGCCTGGCGGCATCATGAGCACCCAAGAAAACTTTTGCTGACTTAGAGCTCGCGATCGAATCCACCGTTTTTTGCTCCGCAATTTTAAAGGAGAGCCCCATGTACTGCTTCAAACGCTGTAAGAAAAGTTGGGTTTCATCACGGTATTCACCTGTTTTCTCCTTCACCGCGCGCATCTGGCCAACTTCGGTATCAGCATAGACGCCAATTGCACCACGATCGCCAGCAGCATCCGCTAGTCGCTTTTTATTTATCCTAATATCAGGATCAATCGTCACCATTGCTTCGTACAGGAGGGAAAGGGAAGATTCTGTCTCCTCGATGCCTTCTGCGCTGCTTAAGGATGCTTCTCGGAGAGGTCGAAGGTCCTCGGAAGAAATGGAAATGGTTTTGAGGAGGTTTTGTAGCTCATTTTGGAGAAGTTTTTGATTCGCTGTTTGGACCTGCAAACCTTGAGATTGTGCTTCGATATAAGCGACGTCATCCACAAGGGTCTAGGATTCGTTAGCACAATTGGTATCAGACGCATTAGGGTGGGAGGTACTTGCATTCAGTTCATGTGCGTATAGCATCAGTAGGCCATCCAGTTCATCGCATTCGGCAATGGCTTTGTCAAATAGTTTTGAGAGTTGGTCCACCTTGCCTTCCTGCTGCTCGAGATGTCCCAGCCAGCTACTTGCTTGTACCCGACCTATCTCTCGCCGGACATCTGCCTCGAGATCGTCAATCCGTTTGTCCTCGCTCAGTCTCCCATTCCATCCTAGGTCACTTAGTATATCGTCGAAGTATCCTCCCCTACCCTCCAAAAGGCTTGGGTCTATGGCAAGAGCGGTACAATATTGTGCCGTATTGTCCTCGCGGCGCTGGCGCCGGCGTTCTTCTTGTGACGGTGGCACTTTCGAGTGAGTGGTACCTGCCGTACTATCGATAGGAACTGGACTTTCCTTTGATGGCTGAGGTTGGGGTGCGGGCTCAGCAAGCTGGACTTTAGGCACTTCTTGAACCTTGGGCGCTTCCATTGGAGGAACAAACGGTTGTGTGTCCCTTGTTGATGACTCTATCGAAGGGGGCCCAGTAGTTTCAATGGAATCATCAGTCATCTTCCTAGATAGGGGCGCCGGAATCACACCGGTAATACCGTCTGGCTCATCTCCACTTTTCTCCTTGGTGGCCAGCAATCTATCTGCCGCACCCCCCGGTCTAGGTTTGAAAGCACCATATGTAGTGGCTGCCTTTCGGAGTGTAGACGCGAGTTCCGCCGGCTTCTTTTTCACCATTGGACCGAGACCTGGACGATGTGTCTCTCCTTCTCCTCCTTCCGTAGGAGCGGTTTCAGGTGATTCGGTGAGTGTAGTAGGTTTGATTGAAGATGAAAGTATTTTAGGTACATCGGATATTTCGCCCATGACAGGGCTCTCGGCTGCGTCAGGCGACAGTTCTCTAACAACGCTTTCAGGTTCGTTTACCGAGCGAGTATAAGATTTGGTATTACTACTAACGTCTCCAGAACATGGTCGCAGCGACATAGGAACGTGCCGTTGGGCGCTGGTGGATTCCGGCACCCCTGTGGATTTCTCACTCCCTCTAGAAAGAGAACGCGCACCAAGATTTAGGGAAGCTTCTGAAGTGAAAGGAGTGACAAAGCGATCCTCCGCCTCGCTTTTACTACTTTGAACCTCAGAGCTACCAATGGTAGACATCGGTGGACGTCCCAACGGTGTAGGAGCCGATGGCTGGACAGAATCCAGCAGGACTGCTCTACTTTTAGGGACTTCTGAATCAATTTTAGCACCAGATTCCGAAGTGGATATCTTGCTAGATTCAACGGGTCGACCATTATCATTCGAAACTGGGCTTCGTGCCGGACGAATGCCATTTTCGATGTTAAACTGCGTTCTAGGCTGGTTACCGGTCGAACTTGATAAAGGATTGGGAGCTGGCGATAGAGCAGGAGGCCGGGTCCGGGGTGGCTGGCCCGCGTGAAATGGTGTTGGGGTGTGGGAATTATTGAGGGTATTGTTTCCGGATGGCTTCGGAGACAGCTCACCTCGAAACCCTTGTTGAGAAGTCTTAGACGCGGGGAGCTCAGGGCGTGGTCTTTGTCCTTCATCCTGCGCTGGAGGAGTGTGTAAGAACTGTTCCCGGGACGCCTGCAACCTATGTTCTCTTGCTCCATCGCGGCTGGGAAGCCGGTTGGCAGAATATGGCGGTTGCGGGACGTTGAATTGGTTTTGCGCCGACCTGGTCTGCGGTCCAGGACTCTCTGGGCGGCCGAGGGGAGGAGCACGAGAACCTGAGGAAGGTCCATTTTGCGGAATGGGAGCCACAGTACCGGTAATCATGTCTCGATCGCGAGGGTCGAAACCAAGCAGTTCCGGAACCTTGCCACCAGTATATTTCTTATATATCTTCACCAAACTGCCAATAAAAAAATCCTTCTCCTTGAGGCTGGCAGCTTGCCAATAGTAAGGTTTGGATACGGTCACTACGAATCCAATATTCGATGCCCACATTTTCTGTTGTTGCTCAGCAGGGCTCGATACAGGCATGTGTTCGTAAATCTGGATTCGGGATAAGTCGTCCAACAGCCATGTTTTGCCGATTGAAAATGTACCGTCATTGTTCTCTCTCGCTTTATGCATGCGAACCCTCCCAGACTTTCTCACCGAAACGATTATCACACGAGCCTTTTTATTTTCAGGGGGTGAGTTTGGCGGAGCAGGTGTTGAAGGGAACGCCGCATCCTCGGTAATTCGTATATGCGTAATATAGGACTCGAGAACTATACGAAACCACATTGTTAGCAGCAGAAGCTACACCCAGTAGAGTGTGCAAATTTTGCTCCAGTACAGCAGTGTCTCCCAGGTAAAACCCCATGGGGGTTATCCGCTAAGCATTTTTGTCCGTTACAAATGCTGTTAATGCGTTGGGTATTGCGGATTCGGCATGCAATCCTGCGATGACGCACCTGAACCATCCACATCTTGCTTGCTAAAACAGCTTTGGATCAGCCGCCGCTTCTCGTCCTCGAATCTCTCTGCCCTGGACATTCCCACTGGCCCAGGGTTTGCGCCGCTACCATTGTGTACCTCCGCCATGGGCCGTCGTTCGTTTGGGGGGGAGATATTGGAAGGCAGCCCGCGAGGGCGATCGCGGCCGCTCATGATCACAATTCACCCGGAGAGGAGTTCATCGAAACACTTGGAGTAATTCAAGCATGCTAGAAGGATAAATAGCGCAAAATACGAAGGAACAGGTTATGCCACGTTGAGAGCTGTAGCGATCGTGTTAGTTGCTCGACAAGAACGGATCGTGATCGATAGTCGTCGAGATGTCGTCGGGAGAGGGAGTTGCTTCTTTTGGCGGGAACTAACCTGTTGCCTCAAGCTAGCGGCTGGTACATGTACCTGGTAACTACTTGACGGATCAGTCAATGGCCCCCCTGCAGCCGGCCCAGCAATGTCCGCTTGCTGGCTAAAATAGGTAAAATTGAGTTCTACGGAGAAGGAGAACGCGGACGTATGTGATCTATCCATCCCAATGCCACAATGTGCACTATCTTTGTATTATCTCTACTTTCTCTTGATATGACTCTCTTTGCCTGAAGGTACCAGATCATATTGGAGCAAAGGCCGTATGTATGATGTATGGTATTAAATCCGTTTCATAGTTCCACACTAGTAAACAATTATATAAGCAAATTGGTCCCCCGTACCATTCCTAGTACAGCCTAGCGTTATTGCCTAACTTCGTCTAGCGTCCGTACCGTCAGCCTTGGTGGTTCCACCACAAACCTAAACTTTGTTGCTTTTTTTTTTCGAGCTTTGATCATCTCGAACGACACCAATAACTTCTCACGCGGTAACAATTGAACTGCTCTCAAGCTTATCAAGCTCATTGTGTGTCTTATGTGTCTGTGACACCACACAAGCAGTCAAGATGGCACTCTCCAAAGATGTCAAGAAATCTTCCAAAAAGGCCTCCACTACCTCTGTCAAAAAGTCGGTTGCCTCGAAGCCGAACAATGGCAAGGTTAGTCAATCCAAGCTGTCTGTCACTTTGCTCATTAGACATGCATTGCAACCCGGTCCTAATTGGATTTCCGCAATCAGGGCGTAAAAGAGAAAAGCACCTCTTTCTCTAGGAAGGCGGCCTTATCCCCTGCTCTCTTAGATGCTATTAACGACTTCCTTAATGCTTACGGCTTCAACAAGACCAGCAAGGCTTTCGCCGTAGAGCAGAAGGAGAATGAGTCGATTACGAAGGCGAAAATCAGGACAACTGGTAAAACCACCACGAAAACACCTTTTTTGGTCGAGATTTTTGAGGACTGGGAACGCAATCACAAAGCGCAACGTTCAGAGGAGAAAGAAGAGAACAGCGTTGACACCGACGAAAGCGATTCGAGTGACTCGGATTCCGATGCCAGCTCGTCCGAATCCAGCGATTCTGACGTTGCCATGGAGAGCGCACATTCGTCCTCCTCGTCCTCGGAAAGTGACAGCAGTGATGAGGACGCCGAGAAGGCGCCCGTCGCCCAATTGAACAATTTAAAGCGCAAACACCATGGCAATTCGAGTTCCTCGTCTTCCGATTCTGGCTCAGATAGAGCCCGTCCTCAGGCGAAGCGAACAAAACTAGCTACTAAGAAATCAACATTGAAGGCAGCAGCAAAGCTATCCTCCACTTCGGAATCTTCGTTCGAATCATCCTCAGGCTCTGGTTCTGACTCCGATTCCAACTCCGATTCCGGTTCCAACTCTGATTCCAACTCTGATTCCGATTCTGATTCCGATTCTGGCTCTGACTCTTCGTCTACATCCGAATCTGTGAAATCGAAAAAGAAACCAGTTTCCAAATCAACTGACGTGGCTGCCGCCCAGATTCCACTTCCCGAGTCTGGCGAAAACGATTCCAGTGACTCTTCCTCATCATCGTCATCATCTTCTTCGGACTCATCCGATAACGATGGCAGCTCGGGCCTCAGACGATCAACAGAATCAAGTGCAACACTGGAAGCTAGCTCCTCGCCTAGCGACCCCTCTTCTGATTCCTCCTCAAATTCATCTACTTCCAACTCTTCTACAAGCAAGAAGAAAAGTAAGAAACAGACAGGCAGCCAATCCAAATTCACCGCCTCCTCCACCACCCTCAACAGGAACACCTTTAGTACTTCCACACCCAACGTTGTTTCAACACCACTCTCCACCCCAGCCGTATCTACTTCGCCCGCTAAGCGTTCGGGGGCTAAACCGACCCCTTTGGCGCAAGCCAGCGAGCTACCACACAACCATCCCTCCAATGCTTATATTCCATACGCGTATGCGGAACGTGCACACAAGGATCTCTCAGTCACCCGCGGAAAGGGGTTCACAAAGGAGAAGAATAAGAAGAAGCGCGGCTCCTACCGGGGAGGACCCATAGACATAGGCCCCGGAAAATCATTCAAGTTTGAAGACTAGTGCTGGGAATCGTAACTACAAGATCTCAGTGCTGAGCAGATGCACACTCTTTCATATCTCGCGACTTACCAAAAGAAGAAAAAATATTTTATTCTTCAGCTAGCTCTTTGTTTGCTATTTTTCATTCCCATACCAGAGTCTCTTCCTTTGTGTTCCGTTGACTTCATTAATTCTCCAGGTCTCGCCACCCCCACGACCTATCAAGTTGGAACTTTTCCTGTACGCTGGCTGGACGGTTCGTTAATTTGCTGTTATGAAACCTCTATTACCAAAAATTAGATCAGTAAATCCTGTAGCGTTCTAGCGAGATAGAATGTCAGAACACACCGTCTTTATTACCTATATTGAGATATAATCTGCAAGATGAGGCCAGCAACCGTTTGTTTTACTAGTTACTTACCATCTTGCGCTAAATGCTCAGTAATATCCATTCTGCTGGTGGGAATGCAAGCTATATATGGAATCATCAGTAGTAAACTCTAGATATGGAAGGAAATTCCATGCGCTAGAATTTCTAGGAGGCAATATAAATCTAAGCGTCTATATGAACTCGGATAACATGGATAGGGAACCAACGCAATGAGAACCAAATTAAATATATATAACAGGACTTCCGCGATAATATAACCCAGAATACTGAACAGAAATCTCCATCCATCGGTCAAGCCCTTGTCCGCCTCCCCCTCACCCTCTTCTTCCCTTTAACCAACGGCTGCCACCAGCGCGGATCCCAGCCAGGAACCCTTCCTTGATTGGCTCCATCGCCGTCCCTTTCCCAACTCCCCACGACTTTATGTAACGAATGCTGCATCATCAACTTAACTCCCTTCCCCCTATCCTCGGGTAATGGCCGCTCATAGCACGACAGATCAAACGGGCGCACACTAGAGCTGGACGAATGTACAGGTAGATGGTTACCTATACCGGCATTTGCGTCCGCATATGCAGTAGCATCCACGTCCAAACCGAGCCCGAGATTCTGTTCATACCATTGCCGATGTGGACCGGTGATGTCGTCCGTTGATGCAAAATCGAGACGGATTACGTTTGCCTCCACGCCGACGTAGACTGTTGAGGAGGATGGAGAAGGAACGGACATGGTGTATATCGGTCCCCGGTAACGGAGGTTGTCACGGAACAGAGGCGCACGGTTCGAGGGACGGACGGGTGGGCGGTTGGAGAGGAATACGGAAACGTCGCGGCGTGGGTAGCGTAGTGAGTCTTTCAAGATTTTCTCTGAAGCTGGGGTTTCTACGTTTTGCAACTGGAAATTGTGGAAGCCATTGCTCGTTTGGCGGTAGTGGTGATTCTGGTGGTTCTGCGAATGTAAGGGAGCGGGGCGAGCATCCAGATAAGAATATCTATTCGGCATGCGCATGTCGAAAAATTTGACAGTGGCATTTATACCGCTGCCAACAAGGAAGCATTCGCGCCCTATTGGTTGGATGACATATATCAGACTGTCATCCACGGTATCGATATAGGAGGAAACGTAAGGTTTTGGCGAACGCAAGTCATGAAGCCTTGATCCAGAGTCAGTGAGGAGAATCATTGGAAATAATAGGACTGGCCACGATATATCGGTAGGGTAGTCAAAGGTGCATACCGGACTTTACTATCCTCCCACCCTGCCAGGAAGAGATCTCCTGCCCTTCCACCAGTACGTGATGTCACTGGCAGAGGTTCAATTGTTTGCACTTGGGACTTTCTCATTAGACCACCCTCATCGGAATCATCCATTTTGAAATCACGAGTTCTGGTGACACCGGTGGGCGTCAAGTCATAGACACGTATTGTATCAATGGCGCTGTCGGATCCAACAGCTATTCGTTCATCACATAAAAGCCGTGAGCATTTATGCCTAGCAAAACCATGAGCAGTAGTTTTGAGTATGTCTAAGGGTTGCAATTCATCTTCTTCGGCATCAGCTCTGAAGAAGGCAATAGCCCGTCTTCCTAGAGTTGCAGCCAGCAATCTTTGAGGCCCCGCACTCAGATCTGTTTTCTCGAGACTATTTGATTCTCCCGTGATGTAACGTTTCTTCAGAACGCTGCTTCCCGTCCCTGGAGAAATAGCCATTCGAAGAAGGCTTCCATTACGACGTCCGAATATGATATCTTCGCTCTCAGTACCTGGTTCCCCGTATGTTGAGGGTACAGCATGAACCCCAGCAATATCATCCCAGCTGTTAACCCCGTGAAGATCATTAAAAACAGCCCAGGTCACACCGTCTCGACTTCTTCCAATACTCCTTCTGTGCCTTGCGACTTCAATGTCAGGTTCAACTCGATGTTCCCTTTTGTTATTTTTGCCATAAAGGCTCAAATCCGTAACACGGATATTTAAGTCCGCGCCGGCACCCCAGACGAGGACTTCTTTCCTACTATGCCAGTTATTGCCACACCAGACTTCGTAGCTATCAATTACCGGTCTATATCCAAGCGTTGGGTGATCCGTCCGGACCGTCCTTGGGTGACCGATCCGCCGAGCATTTTGAGGAGGTAGAACAAAACGGCCAATAATTGCTTTGCGATCGAAAGCCCTCGACCGTGAAGTTAGGGCACGAGCCGCATCAACCCAGAACGGTGGGACATCAATGGACTCAAAACGGCTTTGTACGAACGCCTGAAAAATGCGGTAATTCCCTGCGGAGATAATCTCGTGTAGTCGCCGGCAGGTTAGGGCGAGGTTATGAACACAGCTGGCGGTGGACAGAAAACTGACGATATGGTAGACAATATCGGATGGTAGGTCTAGAAACATTCCCAGATCTCAATAGAAAATACTTTTTGCCATGGAATTCTAGTTCTGGTGTCGTCAGTAGCCGGCAGGAAAATAGGGCATGTCCGGAGTTTTTATATTTTGATACAACCCAAGCCGCCTCCTTGTTGCCTGCCCCCTGCGCAAGAGCGACAAGCCGCCAGGCGCCAGAACCGTATATTCGTTATGTAAGCTACCACCTCCACAGGCTCAGATATCAGCTACCTACTCAGCCGTCTCTTCTTTTTTCTACAAGAGGAGCTTGATGCCGATTTTACCTTATGTACGGAGTATGAAAGAGGTGCAAGGAAGTCCGTTCGTGTTCCAATAATAAGACCCCTTGGCTATTTATCTCTATTCTACTCAGGGCAAATCCTCAACAATTACCCCCGGCACGTCACCGGGACCATTGACATGGTATATAACCTCGTTTTGCCAACAGCGATTGCTGTAGGCCTCTCAATTCTTTCCTTGTATAAATATTTTATATATCCTGTCTTCATATCTCCGCTATCTAAAATCCCAAGTGCCCATTTCTCTGCTCCAGTATCACCCGCATGGATATTATGGAATCGCTTTAGGATGCGAGGGAATCGGACCATCCACAAGGCGCACCAAAAATACGGCCCCATCGTTCGACTGGGGCCGTCAGAGATATCCGTAAATTGCATCGACGGCGGCATTCGTACTGTCTACGCTGGTGGGTTTGAAAAGCATGACTGGTACCCTCGTGTTTTCGGTGCTTATGGGTACGTGATCTGTGTTGGATACCCCAGCGCTGCTAGCACCCTGATTGTCCCTAGGTCTGACCCGCATTGAAGGACCCTCAGCATGTTCTCGATGGTGGGGACCAAACCCCATTCGGTGCGCAAACGGATGATGTCTAACATATATTCCAAATCCTATCTGCAATCATCTCCTCACATGGCCACAATATCGCAGGCTATCATATACCGCCGCTTACTACCAATACTCCAGCGTAATGCGCGATTTCAATCCAACGTAGAGGTTCATGAGCTGAACAATGCTATAACGATGGACTTCGTTTCCGCATATATCTTTGGACTCGCATCAGGCACCAATTTTCTGGAGGATGTTTCTGCTGGGAGAGAGTGGTTCAGAGTTTATCAGTCACGAAAGCCTTTCGAATTCTTTCATCAAGAAGTGCCCAACATGACCTCTTTGGCTAGGATGCTAAAGATCCCATTAATCCCCAAGTGGTGTGAGAAAGCTAACCAGGATATGGAGGACTGGGGGTTGGAGATGATCGATAATGCGGAAAAATTTATTGCATCTACAAATCCGGCCTGCGAACCAATTGTGTATAAACAAGTTAAGCAATCAATGCTAAAGCAATTGGCTAAAGATGGTCTTGAAGCCAATGCGGGGGTCTTGAGCCAGCAGCGTCTCGAGTTAGCCTGCGAGATGTATGACCATCTAACTGCGGGTCATGAAACCAGTGCAGTTGCCCTCACTTATTTGTACTGGGAACTATCAAGGCATCCTGGTTTGCAGGTAGAGCTCCGAAAGGAATTGGACACGCTTTCACCGAGAATAATGGCTCAATCGGTCCCTGGGATCCCAACCGAGCTGCCGCACCCAAAGGATATCGATGCCTTACCACTCCTAAATGCAATCATTATGGAAACGCTCCGCCTCCACTCTCCAATCCCAGGTATACAACCCCGAATAACACCAGCACCACATACAACTCTAGCGGGGTACGATCAAATACCACCGAAAACTCGAGTGAACGCGCAGGCATACTCACTGCATCGGAACCATGACGTTTTCCCAAACCCAGAATCATTTTTGCCGCACCGATGGCTCGAACCAAAAGACTCAGTGGACCTGGAGAACATGAGACGATGGTTTTGGGCATTCGGAAGCGGAGGCCGGATGTGTGTTGGTAGCAATTTAGCCCTGCAGGGTAAGTTGTGTTTGGCTGTTTCGTTGCTTTTTCAACTGGATTCATGTATTTGTTTGAATTCATTATAACTAATCCAATGATGGCACACTACTTTGGCCTGAATTAGAGATGAAACTCGTCGTCGCTGCAATATATTCGAACTTTACAAGCAAGATTGTCGATGACGAAGGCATTGAGCCTATCGATGCATACACAGTCCGGCCATCCAGCAACAAATTGGTACTAAAATTCGAACTTGTTTGAGGGCCAGTGATCCTGGGTTCAACAACTTATTTTGCCTACCTCTTCTCAGACCCGCTTATACATCAGTCCAATAGGATTGATGGAAATTCTCCCATTTGATGAGCGGCTATAACCCTCCATGGTGTATATACGTATCACTGAATTTGTTCTCACCTCACCTTCCAGCGAGCGAATTTCCGATTGGATTAGGTCATGAATTTCGCTCTGTAAATAACGCATAAACGACATGTCGTACGTCAATAAATACATTTTCGATTCATAATATACACAAGAGAAGAATGATAATCAATTCTTCCTTTCAGAAATGAAGGGGAAATCCAGCTACCTCATGAATAAAATACTAGAAACCCTTGTTTCTTCGCTCTCCATGCACCAAGCCAAAACATCCTAAACTCCAACCTCCATGCAACAACGCGTATTCACAACTCCAACTGTCGCAGGTTGTTTCTCTAAACCACATAGAGCCAGCAAATGTGGGCGCCCAGTCTCGGGGAGCTCGAGAAACCCAGTTAACTAATTTTCCAGTATTCGTTTTGAGGTGAGGAGTCTAGATGGACTATAAAAGACGGCATATGCTGAACATGAAAAAGCAAAAATAACACAGCCCACAGCATAAACAAAGCAGAACCCAAATAAAAATGTATATAAATAAAAACTCAGTGAAACACGCCGTCCTTCTTTCTTGGCCCTGATATCTTGGGAAACATCCGCATGAGATGGTAATTGATTGTGCTCTTCCCTTTCCGTTGTATTTTCTAAAATCCAAGTTAAATGGCATTGAGTTAGCCAATGATGACCCCACGTAATTCAAAGAAGGAAATGTGGATTACGCAGAGCAATCGGTAAAAGTAGAACGTACCCCTTTATCCATGCATGCTCTTAATTGTTGTTCTAAAGCGAAGCACCCACTGCTCCCCGATCGGTTTGAAGCCCAGCAACCTATAAGCCACAGCAACAGAAGCACCCATTAGTACATGTTGCCCTTTTTCATAGTCGTACTTCGCTCCACCAACCGCCCAAGATGAGCGCGGAGAGCAAAGTCCACTCCGGGCCAACAGCAGCAAGAAGGGAAAGAGGGGGGAAACGAACTCAGAACACTTGTCATGACGGCAAGACATGGGTTTGCTTGATGGGTATTCGGACTCTTTACTCGAAGTTTTTGGATTGTTTGCAAATGTAGTGGCTTGATGCGCGTCGCAGCACCTTTTGGAGGCATGGTTCTGATATGGAAGTGGTGCGGGGAAACGCCAATTCGATTTAGTTTCCGAATGAAAATCTATTGGTAGACGGATGAAGGATTGAGCAGACGTTGCGATAAATTTGGAGACGCGTTTCAAGCCGACGTTTCTAATTAGATCCCTTCGAGAGAGATAATTGATGCAAGGCGCTTTTTTTGAAGGTCTTCGCCGATGCCAAGATTCGAATTTCCTTCCCGGGCTGATGTAATCAAGATGTTGGTGATTACTACACCTACCCTAGTCACGTGCCACCCCAACCTATGGATCCATTTAGTGTAACTCGCGTAGATAGATTACACACACAACTAGACTGACCGTGTGACCGTGTCTGGGACCAGGACCAGATTTTTTGATAGTCTCATTACCAATTCGACTGATCCCATTACACAGTTTTAACATTAGATAGTAGTTCCATACTGTCTCAGTGAGACTTACTGTCTACTCTTATCACATTTTTCAAATAAGATCATGATTTTCACTTCTCAATTTAAATTATTTTTATTGCTTTAAATGACTTTAAATCTCATTTAAGTGTTATCAAAAAGCATTACTTTTTAAAAAATTAAAAATAGTCTAAAAAAAACCTTAAAATGTCTAAAAATAGTAACTTTATACTAAGAATGAAACTAAATGAGATCAAATAAGATCACTTTCTTATTTTTTTCAAGTCATGATTTCATTTTAAGATCTGATATATAGTCACTTTACATGTTTTTTTAATAGTCAGTTCTAGCAGAATTCATGTCAAGAAATGTATGAGATCAGATCAAATGAAATTAAATGTGAAATTCATAGTTCTGACAGTCAGTCTATATATAACACAACAATGTTATTCTTCAAGAGAATATGAAGCTCTTTACAAGTAATGAATAACTGTAATAACATGCTAAATTGACATCTTCACACATCATTACAAGTGTGTCTAGATGATTTATTAATTAATTAAACTCATGATAAAACCTGAGATTGAGTAAAAAGCCTGACTTAATAAAAGAATTATATGTTAATATATAGAAGAAGAAATTCACAAACATCTGGAGATATAAGAAGAATTAAGTGTGAGCTTATTAATATCTATAACAAACTGAAAAGTGACTTGTCTCAGAAGCTTATAAGATGAATAATACAATTATAAAAGAATAGTCTGATAAGTTTTATTAATAATACAAAGACTTAGTTAAAGATATCAGTAAGATGTTCAGGATAATACAGAAGTAAATTAATTACTAAGACTATGAATTTCACATTTAATCTTATTTAATCTAATCTTATACATTTCTTAACATGAATTCTGCTGAGACTAGTTATTAAAAAAACATACAAAGTAACTATATATCAGATCTTAAAATGAAACTATAACTTGAAAAAAATAAGAAAGTAATCTCATTTAATCTCATTTAGTCTTATTCTTAATATAAAGTTATTATTTTTAGACATTTTAAGATTTTTTTTAAACTATTTTTAATTTTTTAAAAAGTAATGCTTTTTGATAATACTTAAATAAGATTTAAAGTCATTTAAAGTAATAAAAGTAATTTAAATTAAGAAGTGAAAATTATAATCTTATTTGAAAAATGTAATAAAAGTAGATAGTAGACTGACTACTGAGATTATGAATTTTATATTTAATCTCATTTAATCTAATCTTATATATTTCTTAGCATGAATTCTGCTGAAACTGACTATTAAAAAAACATGTAAAGTAACTATATATCAGATCTTAAAATGAAATCATGACTTGAAAAAAATAAGAAAGTGATTTCATTTGATTTTATTTAGTCTCATTCTTAGCATAAAGTTACTATTTTTAGACATTTTAAGGTTTTTTTTAGACTATTTTTAATTTTTTAAAAAGTAATGCTTTTTGATAACACTTAAATAAGATTTAAAATCATTTAAAGCAATAAAAATAATTTAAATTGAGAAGTGAAAATCATAATCTTATTTGAAAAATGTGATAAGAGTAAATAGTAAGTTTCACTGAGACAGTATGAGACTACTATTTAATGTTAAAACTGTGTAATGAGATCAGTTGAATTGATAATAAGACTATCAAAAAATCTGATTCTGGTCTCAGACACAGTTACACGGTCAGTCTAGTAAACAGTAAGTTTCACTGAGACAGTATAAGACTACTATCTAATGTTAAAACCATGTAATAAGATCAGTCAAATTGATAATAAAACTATTAAAAAATCTGATTATGATCTCAGATACAGTGATATAATCAGTCTAATACAGAGAGCTTAAGTAACTGAAATGTGATAAGCTGCGCTCAATCAATTATATAGACTATTTCATTACACTTCATAGATTCTTTCATTTCACTATTAAATACATACACTCTGATTCTCAGCCATTCTCAATTGCCAATTCTCAGCTGTTATAAACATGTATAGATTCTTCCGCCCCGGAGCTTCACTGTATATACTATTATATATGTGTATAGATATTCATTCTGATTGCTAATTTCTACACTTTCTCTTTCTTTTCCTTCTTTAACATTTTTCTCATTGTTATATAAGATCTATTAATATTATATCAATCTATTCAGTATAGACCTCTTATACTAGAAAAACATTCATCATCTTCTTATTAGAAAATAATTATTCACACATTATCTTCTCATCAGAAATAATTATTTATCAAGAGATATCTGAATATGTAATAATACATAAGAAATAGAGAAACAGTTAAACAGTTAAACAGATATCAAGTTCTTAAATAGAAGCTTACTCATTAGTTACTCTGATCTTATAATAAGATTCTACAAAGAGAATATCAGTGAAAGACCTGAGAGTTCTGACACTCAGATATATAAGATATTTATATAATTACACTTCTTCAGATTTCACAGATATCACATATCTGATAAACAATATAATCATGTCTAATAATAATATGAAAGAATCTCTGAATATAAGTATAGACACAGTATTACAGTGACTCTGAGCAATGTTAAAACTACAATAATAATAAATAGCTGATATATATGTAACTTAATAACATCAATATAAAGAGATTTAATAATTAACTCACACAATTTTAACATCTACAGAATTGAATACAAAAGTACTGAAAGAATACTTAAATACTTTTATATATTTCAATACTTCTGATCTCACTCTCTACTCATCATGAAGAATGAAAATGCTTATAAAACTGAGTGTAGATAAAGATATCATCAGTTCATTAATCAATCAAGATTGATATATTAATGAATAATTGAAAGATTATATAAAACAGAAGTTTCATTCATAAATAAAAGTATATGAATCAGTATTATAAATATCTGATAACATCATGAAACATCTTGATATTCTATTTCAAGACACTGTTATATAACAGAAAGTATTAGATTGATTACAGAGTATCTGACAGAGAAACACTTCTTTTATAATATTTATTCCTGACTTTAATATCAAGATTCTAGAAGTAGATAATCAATCTTGAGAAAATCAAATAAAGATTAGCATGCTTAAGAAGACATTAACTTTCAAACTCTTACAGACTCTTATAAGTGTAGACAAAGACTGAACTTATAAAGACTTCTGCATACAGCTTTAAATAATGAATAACTATCTTATCAAGCTTAACAGTATATAGAACAGTGATAGAAGATATTATATCTTAATAACTCATTTACTCATGCTGAGAAATAACAATGATGCAGATATTATAAATTGAGTAGACTTAAATATTTATATATAAGTAAGAATCTTCACTATCTGAACAGACTTCTGAATCTCTGAGATCACTTTCAAAGAAGTTACTGATCAACATCAATGTAAAGTATACATTATGTCACGCTCCCGGCCGCGCCAAGGCCTCACTGCAGTTCCACACGGCTCATCACTTCCATGCGGATGATTTCATCTCATCTGAACCGGTTTCCAATCACTCTGACATCATTTGAATATATCATAGAAAGATTCAATTGATGAATAAGAGAACCCCGCTTCTATACAAGATCAGCAGATTACTCTTCCTTGACAATGAGATGCTGCTGAGGTATCACTTCAGCTATTCTTGCTTATGAAATAAGAGAAGAGTATTCACTCATTGTCTATATAGAATAGCTAGATGCTGACTCTTCATCAAAGAAGTCAGTAATTCATTTCTTTTTTTCTACTGAAATATATACAGAAGTTACTGTATATCTTATATAATCTTCTTAATATACTAAATATCATATCTGTGATATTCTCACAATAACTCTGTAGTCTATGAGCTCACTATTTAAGTAAGATAGTTAAGCTTACTTATACAGCTTCTTAAACAACTATCTCTATATAATACTACTGACTAGTCATCACTTCAGTTCTGTTATATTACAATTCAAATCACTTGATCTGATTATACATTTGAATCAGTCAAGCTCTAACAGACTGATATGACCTTATATACTTATACTAAGATTAACTCAATCTCACTCTCTGAGAGAAATACTACATCATTCTCTAGAGTGTATACATCTCTATCTCAGTAGAAATCTGAGATTTCTGAACTTACTATATATTTTAATATGAGCTCTTTAATCACTCTATCACTGTTATAATCTCTACACATCTATATCTATTATAAAGATAGAGAGATTAAGATCAGAGATTCTCTGAGATATAAGAAAAACACTTTATCTGAATTTCACAGCTTTATCTGTACTCTTGAACAGAAATTCTGCCTTAATCTGAGCTAGTATAATACTTATAAGATATAAGTAATCTATGCTGTCAACCTTCTTGAAGATATCTCTGCAACTACTTGAGTTATCAAGAAGAGAGAGCTTAAGTGTATCAATACTATTATAACTTAAGAAGAATTCAAGAACTTTCTACTGAATTAAATCAAAGATTATCATAAGTGCAGCTTTACAGCAGCACAGCAGTTCAATATATTATATTAATAAAATAATGAGAATTCTTTCAATTTCAATATAAGATTTAAAGAATATTAAGAGAAATTAACTGATGATTTAAAT